TGTCAGGGTTTTTTCTCTGATCAGATGATCTGGGTAGTGTGGTAAGCACAGTATCTGATGAAGCATCCATTCTGACATGTTGCTCCAGAGGAAGTAAATGGTTTCTATGTAAAGTCTTTAATGGACCACCATTCTTCTCAGGCTTTAGTTGGTATACTGGTAGTCCAGGCATTTTAGTCTCCGCAATATAAGGCTATGAATCCCATCGGTCTGCAAGTTTGTGTTTTGCAGGGAGACCCAGGTTCCGGATAAGAAACACGATCACCAGGCTGCAGATCGTGGTATCGTACTTTCTGATCATAATGTTCTTTGTTGCCCCTGTTCATTTTATTAGATGCGGCCTCAGCAAGTTGATAAGCAGCGCACAAATCCTTTTTAAAATTAGCCACCATACTGAAGGTAAGACTGGTGAGACGATCCATCTGCAGAGAGCCCAAAGCAGAGGTCCACTGGTAATCGGGCTTCACGTCCAAACATTAGGAAATATGGAGAATACCCAGTGGCCTCATTTTGGGTACAGTTGTAAGCATGCACCAGGTGGCTAACATGCTGGCTCCATTTAAATTTCTGTTTGGTAGTCAAAGTTCCCAACATATTAAGCAGGGTCCTATTAAAACGTTCAGGCTGAGGGTCCCCTTGAGGATGATAAGGGGTTGTCCTAGATTTCTTTATGCCCAGCATAGTCAGAAATTCCTGAATTAAGCGGCTCTCAAAGTCCCGTCCTTGATCCGAGTACATTCGGTTGGGCAACCCATAACGCACAAAGTACTTTTCCCAAAGGGTTTTAGCAACAGTAGCAGCTGTTTGATCCTTAGTAGGGAAGGCCTGGGCATACCTTGTGAAATGATCAGTGATGACTAGCACATTACAGGTATTCCGACTATCGGGTTCAATTGTGAGAAAATCCATGCAGACCAAATCCATAGGGCCTTCACTCTGAAGATGAAACAGTGGAGCAGCTTTTGTGGGTAGAGTCTTCCTTAGTATACACCGGGCGCAGGTCTTACAATACTGCTCAACATCAGCCTTCATTCGTGGCCAGTAGAATCGGTCTCGTACAAGTCCATAGGTTTTATCAAACCCGAGGTGTCCATGGTCATCATGTAAGGACTGTAGTACAGTTTTGTGAAATCGTTTAGGTAAAACCAGTTGTTTCTTTGTGTATTGCCTGGGCTGTGATTCTATACAAAAGTGATTCTATACAAAAGGCCATCGTCCAAAGTAAGTCGATCCCATTCCCTCATTAGGAGGGGAATATTAGGGTGTCTGCTTCTATTCACGGCAGCTGGATTTCCCTTATCAACTGCCAACCAGATCTCTCCAATAAAGGCATCATTCTGTTGTGCAGCCTGAAGTTCAGAACGAGTCAAATGGGGAAGATGGGAAGTATCCAAAGAAGCAACATTGCAGTACGCTTGAGGAATAGCATGGGCTGACACTCCCACAAGATCTATAAAGCGAGCAGGTGGCATGTTAGTCGGCTTCCCATAAACTGTAGAGACTTGACACAAAGCTCGAACCCCAGGGGCAGATACCTCTTCCCACTCATCTTCAGGAGCTGAGATACTATGTGGTCGTCTAGATAATGCATCAGCATCTATGTTCTTGCTTCCTGGGCGGTACTTTAGGCTGAAGTTGTATGTGGACAATGCTGCTAACCACCGGTGACCAGTAGCATCCAATTTGGCTGCTGTCAAAATATATGTTAATGGATTGTTATCCGTGCGAACCTCAAATCATGCTCCATATAGATAATCATGCAACTTATCTACTACAGCCCACTTTAAAGCCAGAAATTCAAGTTTGTGCACAGGGTAGTTTCTTTCAGAGGGTGACAAACTTCGACTGATGAAAGCTACTGGCCTCAATACCTCAGGATATTCTTGATATAATACCCCTCCTAAGCCATCCATACTGGCATCCACATGCAGAACATACGGCTTTTGAGGATCAGCAAATGCTAATACAGGAGCTTTGGAGAAGCATTCCTTAATATTCTGACAAGCCTCTTCACAATGTTCATTCCATCGGTCCCCAAAGGGCTCAGAAAGTTGGAAATAGGTTTTATCTGTTGGAATATCTTTAGGTCTTGAACCATTTTTGTGAGGTGGTGGCGGGTAGCCTTGCAACAACTCATTCAGTGGTCTTATCAATGTGGAGTATCCCTTCACAAAACGCCTATAATAGCCACAGAATCCCAAAAATGAATGTAGGGCAGTTAAATTCTGAGGCCTGGGCCAACTGGAAACAGCCTCAATTTTTGATGGGTCCGTGGCAATACCTTGCTCTGACACTATGTGTCCCACATAAGAGACTGAAGGGCGGCAGAATTTACACTTATCCAAGGATAGTTTCAAGCCTTCTTCTTTCAAACGATTAAGGATTATATGGACTTTAAGCAGCCGCTCTTCAAGAGTTCGCCCAAAAACAATTAGGTCATCCAAGTAAACGAGAACTTCCATGAGATTCATGTCCCCAACTGTTCACTCCATTAATCTTTGAACGGTGGCAGGAGCTCCACAAATGCCTTGGGGCATTCTCTCAAACTGATAAAATCCAAGTGGGCAGATAAAAGCAGTTTTCTCTCTATCCACCTTATTCATGGGTATTTGGTAATAACCACTGCGAAGGTCTAATACAGTAAGCCACTTACTCCCATGTAAGCAGTTAAGGACATCCTCTTTCCGCGGCATTGTATATTGGTCAGGGACAGTGCGCTTATTGAGAGTTCTAGAGTCTACACACATTCTGACAAACCCATTTTTCTTCCTCACCACGACAATTGATGGATCTAAGCTGGCTAGTAGGAAGTTTAGACTTGAGATTAGACGAAGGTTTCCAACCATTAGAGGAGTGAAGTTCTGGAACGGCCTTCCAAGGGAAGTAGTGGGGGCAAAAGATCGATCTGGCTTCAAGATTAAACTAGATGGGTTTATGAAGGGGATGGGTTGATGAGATAACAGGATCTTGGTATCTAGTTGACCATTCATTATCAGTGGGAAATAGGTCAATGGAGGGATGATAGGAGTTACTATAGAGAACTTTCTGGGTGTCTGGCTGATGAGTCTTGCCCACATGCTCAGGGTTTAGCTAATCGCCATATTTGGGGTCGGGAAGGAATTTTCCTCCAGGGTAGATTGGCAGAGGCCCTGGAGGTTTTTCGCCTTCCTCTGTAGCATGGGGTACAGATCACAGCTAGAGGATTCTCTGCATCTTGGGGTCTTCAAAGTATTTGAAGGCTTCAATATCTGAGATATAGGTGAGAGGATTATTCTAGGAGGGGTGGGTGAGATTTTGTGGCCTGCACTGTGCAGGGGGTCAGACTAGATGATCATAATGGTCCCTTCTGACCTTGGAGTCTATGAGTCTATGAGTCTATAATTGGAGAGGCATACGGGCTTCATGACTCAGAAATTATTCCAGCAGCCATTAAATCATGTATGTGGCGTCGAACATCTTCCATATCAGCTGGAGCCAGACGACAAGATCGTTCTCGAAAAGGTCGAGAGTCATTTAGATGGATCTCATGCTGAGTACTTTTTGCACAGCCCACATCCCATTCATGTTGGGAGAAGACATCAGCATGCTCTAACATTTTCCTTCAGAGATGCTGTTTCCATTCCTCAGGGATTGGGGAATCTCCAAAATCAAAGCAATCAGGTCTCAAGTCCTTAGTGTTGTACTTGACAGCTGCTGCATGCATCTGAGGTTCTACATCAACTGGGAACAACTGGGCAATTCTTGTCCCATGTTGAATGATCACCCTATGAGCAGAAATTAGCAGTCACAACTGTAGTGGCTTGCACCTCAAGTCGCACCATAAATCCTCCAGGTGTAGTCATTTCTTCTGGTGTATCCACTAATAACAATTTATCCGTAGGCTGAACAGAAAACTTTGGGATACAGGTGACTTGACAGGCACTGCCAGGTAGTATGTGTAATGTTCTTTTCTGTGTGTACCATACATTGCCATACCTGGTAGAATCCTTATCAGAACAGAGAGAGACTTTCTGTGGAAACCTGTATAGGCCTCCTGGATCTTAGGGTGAATAGGCAAGGTACTGATGCATCCTTCCCCAACAGTGTCTTTGCATAGTTTAAAAAAAAAATTGCTGGACCAGATTACTATTGGTGCCAACCAATACTGCAACATTACTTTTGACACAAGGATTCGGGCACACTAGAACTAAAGTATCCAGCTTCTCAGGAATTCCCATGATGGATGGCGGGAACTCAATTTGAAGGATAAGTACCCCTCATATGGGTATTTTTGATTACTCAACCCCCAGATTTCCAAATTGTCCAAGGGTTGAATAGGCAAATGGCGAAGGTAGGTATTGTAAAATGTCTTGTACAAAATGGTGACTTGTGAACCACTGTCCAGGAGAGCATGAGTATAAATGCCTTCTATTTGAACAGGCACAACCGAAGCTGGGCCTACCAGTCCACGGGGCAAATCATTCCAGGTATTTGCACCCTGTTGGTAGCACTTAGTGGAGTGTAGCTTCCTCGAAACACCAGTTCGCTCCTTCACTGGGCTCCTCTGAAGTTTTCCCAAATTCTTTCTTGCTTGGATGAGCTTACGGTTAACTTTCCATACATCCTCTTCTGTAACGCAGTCTCATTTCGTGTGACCATTCTCCCCATACTTGTAGCCAATTATGTCACTCCTACCCTTTGTTTCAACAGAAATTCTTGATTTGTGAGTAGTACCACCAGGCACTGCGTCATTGCTTCTCACAGGGGCACTCCCCCTTTGGACATGAGAAGGTCTTTCAGGCTTTTCCACTCTAGTATTCAGCTGAAGTAGCTGATTAACTTGCTCAGTCAGACTCCGCAGAGCTTCCTTGAGGTCAGCTATTTCGCTAGAAGGAGCAACAGAGGTGACAGTGCATGCTGAAGCCATGGGAATGTGACGAGCTTCACGAGCAACCAGTCGATCCTCCTCTTCCCTGATATCCCGTACCAGTTTGGAGAAGGAGGGAGGATTTTGGCGTGAGTCAGAAAGCTGCAGCTTCTATTAGGTTGCCAGAACAAGCACCTTTCAGTATTTGTTCCATTCTCACCTGATCCAAGCGGCTAGCAAGTATCCCCTTCTTTACCAGTACCTTATGTAGGAGCGACAGTTTCTCATCCTCTTCTTGATAGGTGGTGTGAAAACACAGATACAAATCTTCTCCGTGCTCCGTAGTCCCATATATATCATCCAAAGCATGGAGATACTCCATAGCACCAGCAGAGGGTTTACTCATTCTTAAAGATCTAATGACATCAGAGGCTGGTCCCCTCAGACTTTCAGCTAGTCGTTGCCGTTTCATAGTATCTGAACATTGCCATTCCTCCATCTGGGCGGCTTGGTCCATCCAAGATTCAAAGTCATCCTCTCCAACAGGGGTAGGATGAATCCCAGAGAAAAATCTCAGCTTCCGATATCCAACTCCTTCATAGGAGGGAGGGGTAGATCGTTCCATTTTTCCTAAAGCAGCTATCAGACCTTCATTTGTGACAGCTGATGGCATAGATGCTGGAGTAACAATGGTCCTCACATCTTCCACTGACTTTCCCTCTTTTTGCAGAAAAACATTCAATTTAGCTGCAAAGTCAGAGCTCACAGCTTCAGTGGTCTCCTCCTCTGGGACATTCCCAGGCAGAAACACAGGCCAGGGGCCAACTTCACCCACAATACCAACTTCCGGGGGTAAGATTTTTACAGTTCCTAATGCCTGGTAGATAATAGCATCCTCAGTATCTATGGGCACTTTACCCAGCATAAGCGCTCGGCTGGGTGGCACTCCTACGTCTCTACACTAGGACAGTAACTTAAGGGGTTCCATGATGTACCCAATAACAGGTTTAGAAACACAAACAAAGGTTTTAAATACCAGCAGATCTCAGAAAACAATCATAACTCCAACACCATTAAAGAAAGCAGGGACAATTTTTCTTGCAACAAAATTAGAAGTGGTAAAGGGGATCCCAGCGGTGTCTCCAAAATGTAACCCCCTTTTTCCTCCCCGGGTTACTGGGGAGCAGGTCACACTCACAGGTGTGCCTGGGCGCCTGGTGTTTTAACCCAAAAGAGATCCTGAGCCCTTGCTGCAGTCCCTTGCTTGTAATGAATGTAAAATGGTGGTGCCTCCACCTGGGCCTTGTACACACTCACTGGTGTGCCTTGGGAGCATCCAGGAATATACTCATTCCAGCTATAATATGGATCCAAAACAACAACTACAAATCATATACATCTAATAGAATACTTCAAAATAAACAATCTTTACTTAACTTAAACAGGGATTAACAGAATTAGAAATGAATAGCATTAACAAAACACATCACAATAATTGAAGTTTATATAGCTACCGTTTGTACTAATAGTGACCCCACCCCAGAGTGTGCACACCCCTAGACTCAGTCCCAGACTTGCGTGCCTGGGCGCGCTGATGTTGCAGCTGTAGTGGAGATGTGGTCCAGGCTAAACAGCAGCTCTGTCCCAGGCAGCACTTTTCCAACAAGACCCAGAAACTTACTGCCCCATGCTGGGCCTATCGGAAGCAGCCTGCTAAAACCCAGTTCCAACAGGCATCTAGTAGCTGCATCCAACAGCCCCTGCACTGGGTCAGTGTCCTTGGCAGCAGCCTGGCTCCCCCTGTGGTTCCAAACTCCAAGGCAGAGTCCCAGACTGCTAGGTCTTTTTCTTCAAGCACATGGAGAGAGCAGTCCTCTCTCCCACCGGAGTTCTTCCTTCCTGTTTTTCCCAAGGGCTCATGGGAATTGTAGTCTGGATTGCAGCACAGGGTCTTTCCAGAAAAAAAAAAAAACAGAGCCCCCTTTAGTAAGGGGACTACATAAAGAATGTTAAGTGTAGCCGCCAGCCCCCTTCAAACCGCCTATAAACTCCCTCACAAAATTCCCCTGTTAGCTGCTCCCAGTTAAGGTTTGATGGGTGTTAAAGGGAATGGGTCTCAAAGCCTCATTAAGAAACTCTGAGCCTTGCCGTACCAAGCTCCTAGTCTCTGCACTCGGTCCCCCAAACAAACAAGCTCAGCACACAGTTTCTTTCAGGCAATCCACAAGCACACTCCAAACTCACACACCTACAGACAGCCGCTTACCCCAAGCATCATGTAGTTGTTCCTCCTTCACCTGAACAACTCCCTCGCCAAACTCCCCTCTTAGCTGCTCCTGTTTGCTAGCTCATAGACTACTTCCATCTGGCTGTCTTCTGCCCTCTAATTGGCTTCAGGGGACGATTATCTCCCCTCCTCACATTGGTTGAGGGAGAAGGGTTTCTAGGTGACTGGGGGCTTGTACCCCCCACCCCTTCTCTTGTACTACTAGGAAAGTCAGCCCTGCAGAACTGTGCCATGGACCCCTCTGGGGTACAATCCTCTGGCTAATGTTTTGGGGACCTCCGCCCCCTAAATAATGTTTGAGTGCCACGGGAGGATGCACTGACTCAAGTTTGCTGCAGTGGAGCCAGCTAACATGAGTGCTGTACAATGCACCTAGCTCAGGAGGCAGGACAAGGCCATGTGTGGCTGTTCAGTGACAGATGTCACCCAAGAAGCCGAGTCACATAGGCAGGGGACGAGGCGTGTGGGGAGCAATGCCCTGTGGAAACAGAACTGGAGGGTTTGAGTCGATGTCCAAAGCAGGGCAGAGTTGCTAAAGGTTAAGGACATTGGAACATGTGCGGGGATGCCCTACACCACCACGGATAATGGGCAGGCTCCCCGACCTGCAACTAATTCTTTGACTAATAGCAGCAGCTGGGCTAAAAGGCGACAGCTCAGATCTAAAAGGGCAGCAACCAATGGGGCTGGGATAGGGGACCACCTCTGCAACGAGCCATTTAAGGAACAGACCCAGAAAACCTACAGGGAGAAGAGCCAGATTGCTGCAAAACAGCAAAGAGGTTTTGGGCGGTCCAAGACCCAAGTGACCAGGCCTTTCAAAAGGCTGCAATGCAAGGTTCGGAGTGGGATGGAGTCTCAAAAGCCAGTGCACACTTGAGCCTCTCATTGGCAAGGGGAAGCGGGTATTGAAAGAAGAATGAGATTTGCTCGGTGGGAGATGGAGATGGGCAGGATGTGAGACTCAATGTGAAGCGGAGGAAGTTGGTGAGGTGGTAGAGCCTCCGCTGAGCAAGTGCAGAAGTAGAGAGGAGGAGGTGAGAGCCAGGCTGGGCAGGGCCACAGGGAGCAGAGTAATGGGACATCTGCAGGAGGAGGATGGTAGCTGCCCCAACACCTTCTGATGGAGCATCCATGAAGTTGTTTTCAAAAGGCAGAGGTTCTGCGGGGAAGGCTGTGACTTCTTCATTGAGGTGTCCAAGGTGAAACCCCTGCTCCGGTCATCAGCTCTGTTCCAAATACCGGAGACCACTTTCCCTAAGCAAACCGAGAAATTCCCAGACAGGATCAAATTGAGGGTCCCTCTAGGCCAGGATCCTGCTGCTTCCAACAGGGATCAGCATAAGGCAATAGTTCCCAATCTTTTTGACACTGGGAACCAGTAAACCCATTCACAGGCTTTTGGAAGACCGATAACATTTATTTGTATATTCATTAAGCAAATGATGAATATGCAAATAAATTGTTTCTGGTCCTCCCAAAGCCCCTAGTGCCAACAGGAGCGGGCCCACTCGACTGCCCTGGGCAGTTTCCCAACCCCAACCCCGAGGTATATACTTCACCCCCGTTTGGGACCAGTAAGGTTAGAAGGTCCATCTCAGGCCTGCTGGGTGACTCAGCTCGTATGGGCCCTGGAGGTCGGGTGAGTAGCCCCAGGTGACGTGTCCTCTCCCTCCGTCGTGTCTGTGTTCATGGGTGAAACTGAGGGCTGCACCCTGCCCTGGGGCATGTCGCTGGCCCTACCTGTCCAGCGGGTTTTTCCACCCCCCTCCACTCCGGACCAATCCCAGTGGCTTTATTGGCTGGCACCAGTTTCCCTGGCTATATCTGGCGCTGGGCATTCTGCGTTGGTGCACACGGTGCCCAGCCTTCTCCCTGGGTCCTAGCACCCGCCGGATCTAGCCCTGCCGTCTGGGAGCATGCCCAGCAGAGACGCTGTGGTGAATCATGTACAAAAATTTTTCTCCTAAGGACTGGTACTGGGCCACAGACTACACTTTGGGAAATGCTGACATAAGGTATTTGAGAGGAGGTTGGAGGAGCTCCCATCACTCTGCCCATAAGGATGTTGATTTCTAATACTCATCAGCTGGTGCTTGGCTCATGCCCATTGGCAGGAGGTTTTATGTCCCTTATAAATGTTTACGGCAGGCAATGTAATTGCCAATTCTTGTTACTACACCTGTAAATGTCTCCTTTTCCTTTGCATCCAGCTGAGCTTTCTGATTCATGCCTTGTGGCAAGGGTTGCCAAACTCAGCTATCTCTTGTGCAGGTTGACTTTTCTCCTCTGCTAGATAAACATAGGAGTCAAGGAGAATTCAAAGGGGTGATTCATTTCACTCCTCGACCTAGTAATTTAGATCAAATGCTGTAGGGCCAAGATCTGCTGGATAAGCTGAAATATTTACCAAAGTACAGGCTGCCATGTAAGAGTTCCTCCAAGGCAAGGATCCCTCTCCAGAGCTGATGCTTGAAGAGGAGACTACTCACCAAGCCAGGTGAAAGTAAACACCCTTTAGTGGCATCTCTCCAGAGACCCCTAATCATTCATTTCGATGCACTTGAACAAGGAGATATTCCCCAGCGAGGTTACGATCTATGTACAAGAGAAGAGACTTAAAACAGAGGTAGACAGGTGGGGAAATACAAAGAAATGGGAAGACCTGGGTGATCAGACTGATAACTAGGCAATAATACTAATATTACTGTTAATAATCCCTGGAACAAAGGCAGAATCCTCCAAGGGAAACTGACCCTTTCCATCCTAATAATCCAGGTAACTGCAAAATCCATAGGAAGGGAGCAAATCAGAGAATGCCGTTGGGGTTCATATTTACCTCTGTGGTTCTATGAAGAGAGGTAAACCAACCCCATCAGAACACACCAGGAGGCACCTCCTTTCTGGGAATTTTGTCCATCCCAGACCCCCCTCTCCCGAAATGGTGAAAACTAGAAATGTTCAAGACCAAAGCCTGCTGATATTTTAGGCTGAAAACATTTGGATTGTGGGGGGGTTGCTATCGATGTTCTCTAACCACCAGTCAAAACTTTTTGAGAGAAACAGATGTTCTCTGTGAAGCATTTCCCACAACATGAAATTTAAGTTTGCTCTGAAAGAAATGTGACAGGATATTTTTGGCCATTTCTGCTTCCCCTGCCAGCGAGTGCTCATTCATGGCCCTGGCCACATTCATGGCCTCTCTCCCTAGGATCATTCTGTAACCCTGTCTGCTTTTTCCAAGCCCACCTACGGATGGTCTAGAAGATATTGGGTCCTGTTGTGAGTGCAGGGGACTGGACTTGAGGTCCTCTTGAGATTCTTTCCAGTCCTATGATTCTACACAGTCATTTTGCGTCTGCCTGTTCTATCCTCACACCACCTTTCATGATGACTCACACACCTGAAATTCCTTCTCTGCTTGATCTGCCATGTCTCTCGCCTCATTTCCTCCAAATGTTCCATCAGATCTATAATCCTTAGTGTCCTCCAATATCCAGAGAAGTGCTACTTTAAAATAACTCCACTCAAACAGGAGAAAGGAGTAAAGAACAGTAGAAGGCAACAAGAGAAAATATTTGGTGGGCCATCACTGCTATATTTATCTGCACCTCTGAAGGTGCCAGTGATCACAGCTCCCATTAGCCACGGATCACCTTTCCCAGGCAATGGGAGAAGCAGGAAGCCCTCGTGGCCCAGAACGCCGCTTCTGCAGCTCCCATTGGCCAGAAATGTCAATCTTTGGCTAAGGGGAGCTGTGATTGCTCCATACCTGAGGCAGTGCAGGTAAATAAAGTAGAGGGGGCTGGCCAGGGGCTAACCCTAGTAGACTGGATCTGTCTTGCTGGCTGGTATTTGCCCACCCCTGGATTAGGCCCCAATCCTACAAAGAATTTAAGCAAAGGCTTAACTGTAAAACTTGGTCTCTTTCACCAACAGAAGTTGGTCCAAGAAAGGTTATTCCCTCATCCACCTTGTCTCTTTAAAGTGAATGGGATCTTGGATCCTGTGGGCTTGAATGGGAGTAGGAACCAGCTGTAAAACAGCTGGCAAAGCCATCAGCTGTTTACAATTATTGGCTGTGTCATTACTAATTATTAACCAAAGTGAAAGTCATTTTCAGTGCCAAACACACACTAATAAGGATGTTACTCCTTTGTTTCTCTTGGGAAGAGGTATAATCAAAATCATTCTTGCAGCACATCAAAAGTTATCTAGAAATGCTCGTACTCCCACCTGTGGCTCCAGGGTTCAATGCTAAGGGATGACTTTTGGATATGTGCTGTTTATTGGCTGTGATCTATTGATAACACATGCACCCATCAAATGCATGGCCATAGCATGACCTCTGTGTAGATAAGCTGTAAATCCCACTTCAGGCACTTTTACTACAGAGGTGGTGTGGTGTGGTGTGGTCTGGTCTGGTTTCTAGAGCACCGACATGGGTCTTTGGAGACATGGTTTACTTCCTGATTTAAGCCACTTTCCTCCCTCTGGACAAGTATACCTTTTGCAAAGTGCAGGTCTACTGGTGAAAGGTGCTAGGGGGTTTCCTGATTTAAGCCACTTTCCTCCCTCTGCACGAGTATAACTTTTGCAAAGTGCAGGTCTACTGGTGAAAGGTGCTAGGGGGTTTTATTTACTCTATTGCTCTGGAACAAGAGGGGCACTTTGCAGTTCCGTGTATACCCCTTCCAAAGTAGCATAAATGACACTATGGGTCTGTCTCCTGTAGACAACCACCTAACCTCAGGATGATTCTTACCAACAACCACCGGACATACAACACTAGTACCAACCCTGGAACTTTCCCTTGCAACAAGCCCCGTTGCCAGCTTTGTCCACATATTTACTCTGCTGACACCAGCATTGGACCTAACCATTTCACTTATAAGATCGAGAACACATATTCCTGCTCATCCAGAAATATAATTTATGCCATCATGTGCCAACAGTGTCCGTCTGCTATGTATATTGGACAAACTTCTCAGACACTTCCCCAAAGAATCAATGCACACAAAACAGACATCAGACAGTTTCACAAAGAAAAAACAGTTTCTTGCCATTTCAATCCGAATGAGCATTATCGCTTGCAGGGGGGGGAAGTGGCTAGTCAAGGGACTAGTTGCTTGTATCCCTAATCTCAACAAGTTTCTGGTGAAGTTGAGATCGCTAAATTACATTATCTCTTCTGTGACGCCAGGGGTATGCAGTCCTTGATATAAAAGATGCTTATTTTCACATCACCTCCCTCCCTTCCTCATCCCCCCTCAGTTCTAAAATCTGATTTGTCTATTTTATATGTGTTCCCTTTTTTTGATTGTATCCCTTTGGTATATATGGTCATGCCAATTTTCTTCCACAATTTGATCTGAGGAAGTGGGTCTGGCCCACGAAAGCTCATCACCTAATAAACCATCTTGCTAGTCTTTACAGTGCTGCATAGTCCTGTCTTTTGTTTCAGCCAGCCCAGACTAACACGGCTACATCTCTATTTCTCTAAGCAGAGCCTGTTCCTCCTAGAGCCAATCAAAGCGGGGGCTTGGCCCTCTTTTGCATAGCCACGCCCAATCACCACACCTGTTCCCCGGAGCTGAGATATAGGTGAGTGGCTCAGGCTATAACTACCAGCAAGGCAAAAGCGAGGCGCAGAGCTCTGAGCATCTGAGTCACTGGTCCCTGGGCTTGCATCTCTCCCTGGCTGTTGTCAACTGCTATGGCTTCCCGATGTTGCCAGTCACCCTGCAACACCTGCCAGCGGTGCAAGGAGGACCTGCAAGAGCTCAACGAACGGCTGAAGGCACAGTAAGCTCTGGGCTAGGGCATGGGCAGGGGCCACAAAATCACTGTCATACTAAGCCATGGTGACAGCATTGAGAAGGGAGTCACAAATATCCCGAGGCTGCAGGCTGGCTGAGGGGACAATTCTTGGCTTTCCCCCTTGCTGAAATCAGTTGCACCCTGGCCAGTGCATGTGGTCAACATTGTGTGTTCCAGAGTTGGCTCCATCCTTCTAAGGGAGTTGTCTTGGGACTGTTCAGCTGTTGCTTCCGTCCCTGCATTAGACCTACAGCACCTTAGCTCTCTAACATGGCCCCAAAAGGGTTTGTTTTCTAAAAGGCCTCCAAAAGGGATGGTCCGAAATTAACCTGCCAAAATTAACCTGCCTAATACATGCCCCAAATTAATACATCAGCCCAAAAAGTGGGAGAGGAACATTTGGCAGAAGTCTTGGAAAGCTGCCCAGGATTTTATATTTAGCTTCCTGTATCCCTCTCCATTTGGATCCAATTTTAGACCTCTCCCTGGTCATCCCCTCTTTAGAACAGTTGCTAGTTCTGGATTCGGAGCCTAGGATCTTGTTGCTATTTGGAGATGGATTTTGGATGCAGTTTTCCCTGTGCTGAATGTCTGTACCTGTTCCCCCCGGCCGTGGGCACACTGGGATTGTGGGGAAGGAGGGATTTTGGAGAACATAGGGAAAGGTAACATGCCGAAGGGGTTTTGCATCCTTAAACTTTAAAACAATCTCCTTGATCTTTGTCTAATGCCATCTATTATGATCAGGGGCGGATGAGAGTTTTGCCAGGCCCAGGGCAGCACAATTTCACAGGGCCCCCCTTTGGTGAAAAAATAGAAAAAAAGGCGTCAAATGTGCTAATTGGAAGCTATTTTCATATTAAATGTGAATTGGGTAAATTTGATAGAAACTTAATTTAGTTGGATAATTTTTATTTTAATTGTATTGTAAGTTATTCTTAAACAAAATTCTGCATTGATAATTCAGAATTTTCATTTGTATTTGTCTCCTCCCCCTCCTGCCTTACTCTCTCTCTCTTTC